CCAGCTAAACATTTGCCAATAGATAACGACACGGCCTCGTTATCTGTTAGCTGACAGGCTATCAATCAAACTCCCTACGTTTCTAGCGTAACTGACCTGCCTGCGCGCCGCCGGTACGTGGTTTACACGTACGCCTGTCACGCAGTCCACAGACGCAAGACGCACAGACGCTGTTTACTCCACCAATGCAACAGTTCTTAGCGGGCTTTTTTTGACCTATACTTCCTCGCAGTTAGCACAAAGTTTGTTGCAATGGCAGACAAGAATCCAGGAGCAGTTAGCCGCAAAAGAAAGTCCGTTTTGAGGTCGCTGAAAGAAAGAAGACAAGGGGAAAAGCAGCGAAGCCAAACTAAGGTGATTCTTGTAGATTCATTCCAGCGATGGCGCGACTGAAGCAGACGCAGGGTCTAAAGACTGACGCATTGGTCGCCAAATTACTCCTGGACAGGTAACTTCTGCTTATTATGAAAACGTACTTTATTTCCAAGAGCTAGTCAAACGTTTTTCAGGACACGAAAGCGATATCCTATGTCTGAAAACGTAATTTTCAAGGCAAAGAAAGAGTCCGCTTGCTGCTGCGCGTGTTGTAGCTAGTTCATTCGCACTGAATCTCCGCGCAACCTTCTCTGCTCCCCTTTCCTACTCCTGTCCCCGCTGCCCGTTCCGCTCTTCCCCCTTCTCCTCACTTCTACGGGCACGGAATCTCCGCGCACCGCTCCCCTCTCCTCTCTCCTCTCTCCTCTCTCCCTGCTCCGCTCTTCTCCCTGCTCCTCACTTCTCGTCCGCGAACGAAATGTCCGCACACCCGCTCCCCCGCTCCTCACTTCTCCGTCTTGCTAACCAACACACACTGTAGTTAGTTGTTTACAAGTCATGTGCAGCGCGCACCAGCTGTAAACAAACCTGTTTCTGGCGTAGTGAGGAGGCGGGAGAAGGCGTTTCTACGTAGGGAGCTGTAGGGGAGGGGGGGGGGTTTCACGCATGCGCAACATTTGAAAAAGGACAAACAGTCGCTGGATTTCTCGTTCCTTGGAAAATCCTCTATACAACCTTTAAGGCACTGACATGATGCACTTTAGTCTCAACTCAACAGTCAACACTCTAGTCTACACAAATAATAATTATCTTTGGTTAAAAACACAACCAGATCAGACACCGGTGTCAGCGTCGCTCCACAGCCGAAGGGAGAGCGCCGAGAGCGGCATCCAGCCAGAACCGAGCCCGTTAGACACGACCAATGATCACGGAGCAGAATTACAATTCTGTGATCGTAAAAATATACAAGAATATAAGTAGCGTTATATAAAAATAGTATTTATGGGGATCTACCTCAAGAGATGGAGTTATCCAGACTCCTGACTTCACATCGTCTTCATCACGTCAGCTGCTTCTGTCGCTAACTTTCCTACTGCACTCGTCAAAACTGATAAAACACACAGAGTCACAGATGTACACACACCACAATATAACGTTAACGTTATGTACATTAATGATGACTAATACAATTAACTTTTAAACTATTACTTACAGTTAAATCCGTGGACAACAGGTGGATGCTGCTTCTTTCTCTCAGGTCCCGATAACGGCTGATGAGTCAGTGGCGCGCCGTCCGCAGCGAATCCGAACCGGTTTAGCCGCGGATCCGCGCATTGATAGAACAAATCATTGTGTCAAAAACAAAGTGTTGTGTTAAAAGTGCGTTCACAGTGCGGATCTAAGATGATTTAACCGCAGATTCTCTCTGTAACAGCAGGCCATCCAAGGGTTAGGGTTAGCAACAGTCAGAAAGCGAATACGGAACAAATACGCAGCGGATCCGCAAAGCGGACGGACTGTGGAGCGGATTTGGCGGAGCGAAAGCGGATCCGCTGCGGATCCTGATGCTAGTAGGGCAGTGCTTGCTGAAGGGGTGTGAGCAGGTATGCCCGGACCAGATACAGACTTTTAAAAATGTCAGTTTGTCAATAAACACCATTGCAGACCGGGTGAAAGAGCGAGCGGGGAATCTTACAGATTCTCGCAGATTACAAACGACGCAAGCAGTTTTCTGTTTTAATAATTAGCCATTGATGAAAGCACAGACACGGCACAGTTGTCCATTTTTGTGCGAGGTGTAAAGGTCGATCTGTCTGTCACCGAGGAGCTGCTCGATATAGTTGTCATGCATGGGACAACAACAGGGAAGGAGATTTTTGAGGCGGTGAAGAAGTCCGTAACTAGCTGTATATCGTGGGAAAGATTGGTGGAGCTGACTACTGATAGCGCAATGTGTGGCGAAAGAAGAGGTTTGACTGGACTGGAAAAAGAGAAAAGGCTACTAGAAAACGGTCCCGCACCTCCGATAACCTATCATTGCATCATCCATCAAGAGGCTCTGTGTGGAAGGGTTCCGGAAATGGGTGATGTTATGGCCACGGTAATGAAAACAGTAAACTTTATTCGTGCGCGTGGCCTAAATCACCGCCAGTTTCAGCACTTTTTACTAGAGATGGGCGGTAAGCATGGAGATGTCCCGTATGACACAGAAGTAAAGTGACTCAGTCAAAGCGCTGCCCTCAGGCCCGACAGCTCATATAGGCAGATAAGGCGCTCGCCAGGGTGCTACATGTGTCTGGGGCGCCATCTTTAGCCTACCTGCCCTAACTGGAATTTGCTTATATATGACAGAACTCGGACTGGCAATCTGTACGGGCCCACGCGCGGTCTTCAGTGTCGACTGGCCTGAAATGCGCTCTTGCCACACCACCTCAACAAGTCCACAAAAGCTCTATCACAGGGGTGTCAAACTCATTTTGGTCCGGGGGCCGTATTTATTTATTTGAGACAGGGGACAGCACACAATTTTCGCATTAACCTTGACAGGAGAGATGCATTGTACATCAGGTTGTAGCATCAGTGCTAATTTCCACCTGTAGTTTTGTATTTAATTGACCTTGACTATCAACTGTTCTGGAGACCTGTAGCATGTTTTGGGTTGATGGGAGAAACCAGAGCACCCAGAGGAAACCCACCCAGACACAGGGAGAAATGGCAAACTCCACACAGAAAGGCCCTGGGCGACCTGGGGATTGAACCCAGAACCTTCTTGCTGTGAGGCATGAGTGCTAGCCACTCAGCCACCATGCCATATCCAACCTACTTTGATCCCAAAGGGGCCGGATTAGAAAACTCATGGCATATAAAACCCAAAAATAACAATAAGTTCAAATATTTGTGCAGAGAAACGCAAATCTATTACAGAAATATTTTTTAATTGATGAACTCTTTCTTTTTTACAAAATATTATAATATTATGAACAACCTGAAACTTTAAGGAAAATCCAATTTCAACACTTTAAACAAATTTTAACATTTTTATTAAAATGAATAAGGAATTTTTTTTCTTGGAAAATCCTGCTGCAATTTTTTCTCGGCACTCCACTTTTCTCATTTTTGACATTTTTGTGATGAGTGTGTCACGGTCAACAGTCAAAACGATCGTCCTTTAAGAGCGTTTGGAAAGAGACAAGTCTTCATTTGTGCTGCTCTGGTGGGAGGGGCCACGTATAGAGACGCTGGAGATGCTGCTATGCTAAGCGATGCAGAAAATTAGCAATATATTTAATAGAAAATATAATTAAAATATTGTAATAGAAAATCAGCCAAGGGCCAGATTAAAGGTCTTGGAGGGCCGGATCTGGCCCCCGGGCCGTATGTTTGACACCTATGCTCTATCATATGTTAAAACGCACTATACGGAAAGATTTTGGTGTACCAGATTTCACTTTAATCTTTTTATTTAAAGACATTTAAATTTTAAACAGTGCAGTATTATGTCTCGAACATATCTGCCTCACTCATGGTCCAAACGCACCTACCGAAAATGACTTGGAAAATATGTCAGTGTGGCGCGGTGCTACAGAATGGAAACAAAGTGCTACAAATGCATGCATCATGAATTTCGGACTTCTGGTCATTGCTCAGTGCATACTGGGAAGGATTTTCCAAAAAAGTGAGCATCAAACCGCCATGTTTGTTTTCCCGGTGGGATGCGTCTATTGTCAAAGTCGATATTTTCAAGTCTTTTGAACCACATCACTTTTGTTTCTGGTTCTGATTTTGTCATATTTTAGTTATGGGATTCAGACATTGTAATTGTGTGGTTGTTGAATGTCCTAACAGCGGAAAACGGCTAGAGAAACAGGCTTCGGCTACCTGTTAAAAAGTTTAACATATCTCTGCTCTCGTGTCTTTGCTATCTTGGTGGTGGTCGAAGAGGCCAGTGGTACAGATTGGCAGCCTCACTTCTGTCTGTCTGTCCAGGGCAGATGTGGCTACAGAAATTCCTTACCATCACCAAGTGTGAGGTGAAGTAATAACTCTGACTTGTATGACGCTTAATTTTTGCAGCTTGCGAGACTTTACATCTGTTTAAAATAGGGTTTTTCTGGTGGCATATATCAAAAAGTTTAGAATGCTTATGCTTAGGCAATTCTGTCAGCACTCATCAAAGACTAGAGCCTTGTGTGTACAATAAGAGAAAGCAATTCTGAAATAATACTCAAATCAAGAAGGCAAAGACATATGGCTAAAACAGAAATGCCAATGCAGATTACATGAGATCCCGAGGTAACTAGTTTATGAGTAAAAAATTTAAATACAGACCACAATACACAAAAATAGGTACGTTACAAATGCAATTTAATAATAATAATTGTTTTTAAAACAGCATTTTTAAAGCTGGTGAAAGAATCTGCCTGCAGGAAAATCTGACACATATTTCACAAAACTAAACATGTTTAGTTCCACAAGGTTGAGGAAAGGCTGAAGGACTGACTAGAATATTCAGGATTTTTGCCTGGTCTTGACCACTGATGAAAATCTGGACATCTGCCTGGATCTTCACCAGGACTCTCTCCTGGACTCTCTCCTGGACTTTCTCCTGGTCCTGTTCTTGGTCTGTGTCTCCTGGTCCTGGGACTTCCTGCTTCAGTTGCTTGATCATGTTTGGTCTAGACCCTTCAGGTGAACTCTTCGCTTCTTTGGTTACTTTTTGAGCCTGGGAGCCATTTTTTCACATCACTGCAAAATAAAAAATAGAATGAAGTCAGTTGTTGTAAAATAATTGCAGTATCATAATTTGTCATTGAAACCAAAACTCTGCTGTTATCTGTGTATTTGAATTAAAGAGCAGAACATACTGGAGCTGTGAGCTGTGAGCTTCTGCAGCAGTGTTTGTGACCAGTGTCTCCTGAATGTTCTGGTGACCTGTGGGCCTGAAAATGCTAAACTCTAGCTCCTCTGCCCTGCTCAGAACTCACCTCTTCTTGGTCTCTGGGAGGCCTCTGTCCAGAGCAGAGGGTCTTTTTCTCTTCTTGGCCCTCTTCTCACAAACTCTGAAGCGTTTGGCTGGTGTAGGACCACAGTCGGGGTCAGGGGTCATCCAGTTTGGACCAGGGCGTTTGGTGCCTCTTGAAGTTCTTTTCCAGTTTGTGGATGGAGACCCACAGTTGGAGACATTTGAGCTGAAGGAGCAGATCACATCCCCCTGAGGGTTGATGTTACAGAAAAATATATATACATATTCAGTGTTAGGGAGTAACAGATTACATGTAACAAAGTTACGTAATCAGAGTACAAATGATGAGTAACTGTATTCAGTTACAGTTACTGTTTCAGTGAGTGGTAATTGGATTACAGTTACTTTGTTGAAATAAATGGATTACAGGGCGGTAATTTTCAGTTTTCACATTTTGGGCTAAACCAGGGACTAAACTAGGACTAAAACCAGAACTAAACTAGGACTAAACCAGGATTAAAAAACTAAAACTAAACTCGGACTAAACCAGGACTAAAACTAAAACTAAACTAGGACTAAACTGGGACTAAAACCAGAACTAAACTAGGACTAAACCAGGACTAAAACTAAAACTAAAGTAGGACTAAACCAGGACTAAAAACTACTAAACTAAACTAGGACTAAACCACTAAAACTAAAACTAGGACTAAACCAGGACTAAAACCAGGACTAAAACTTGAAAACTAAACTAGGACTAAACTGGGACTAAAACCAGAACTAAACTAAAAAGCATGACAATATCAAGTAATACAAAGTATTCAGATGACGCTACTCACTTTAAGTAATTTAATGGATTACGTTACAAACTACATTTTGGGATATGTAATCTGTAATCTGTAGGGGAATACATTTTAAAAGTAACCTTCCCAACACTGTACATATTATATACTGGACGGCACAGTACATGTAGACTTTATGGATTTGCATTTAGCTGTGTGTTGTGGTCTGGTATTACCTTGTTCTCCTTCAGCTGGGGCTGAGTTGTAACAGTGAAGGGTCCAGACCTGACCAGAGGCACTGGCTGTTGGAAGAGGGTGGATGTGACTGATAAATATGTGTCAGTGAGAATGTACACGTGTGTATTTATGCATTAACGACACATTTAAAAGATATGCACAACTTTGGACACTAGGCCCATGTAAAGCACAGATCATATTTCCAAAGTGAAAGTTGACAGTGTGTTGTGGGCTGGTCTTACCTTGTACGTCTTCGGCGGAGGTGGTATTTGGTCCATTATTATATCTTTGTGTAGATGATGATTACACCTGACACCAGATGAATATATGTGCTCAAGAAGAGGTTTGATGAACTTTTACTGTAACAGGCAAAAGTAGAGGAGTATTGCTGTTAAAGCATCGTTTACATGTGTATCCGATTTAAAATTTTTCATCTTTATCTTACAAAACAAACGCTGAGTTCATGTTATGACTAAATGCAACGCACCATTCAACAAGTCTTAATGCCAATGAAAACAAAGTGAAAACATGCATGTTTTACCTTTATTCCAGTTGATCCAAAACGGACTCATTCAGGCTTCATGAGTCAAAATTATAGTAGGCTATATCCCACTGATAAAAAAAAAAACCTGTTCCCTGTTCTGTAAATAAAACTATCACTGCACAGCTTCCTTTTATAATAATATCCTACACATATTTTAATATAATGATTACAAAAACAATGCATGCAAAGCGTTTTTTCTGATAATTATGTATCACATTTTTTAGCCCCCCTAGTTTCCATCACCAGCTGCCACTGCAAATGAACATCAATATGCAAATTGTGTTTAATTTTTCATATTTTTCATAATTTCATTTTAAAAATTACTTACAGGATATAGTTCCAGTCTCCTTTTCACACAAAGCATATAACCATTTCTTTTAGCTGTTGGTGTAATGGATGTATTAAGAAAACTGTCCACTGTCAGAGATAAATAAGGCGGATCCGTGGAGAATTGTGCCTGAGCACAGGCCCCATCCCTTCCTCCGGCGCACTACCGCGGGTTCCCCTCCCCTCCCCTCCTCCGCGCGCGCGACCGCGGGTTCTCCTCCCCTCCTCCGCGAGCGCGAGCTCCCTGGGCGGAGAGAGCCACGCTCTCCCCTGGCTATGGGAATGAATGATAGATTGTTTGCTATATGATTGTTCTAAAATCAAAAAAATCCTTTTTTTTTCATATCCCCACCAACGAACGGGAGGTCAAACTGCAATTCAGTTTGTGAGGAGCTAGAGTCTTAAAAGTAAAGTTGGTGGATCCAGAAGTGTTGTTTGTGACAGGAGCATTTCTAGATTCCCTCCTCTAGGGGGCAGTGTTCCACGCAGTTTTCAACGCTCATATGTCTTAAGGAACAGATAGGATGGTTGAAATCTACAAAATGAGACGCCACAGAATAGTTCATGTTTTTACATCTGATGATTCTCCTCTGCTCTGCAATACGTGTTTTTAAATCTGCTTGTTTCTGGCACAGAGGCTTTACCACAGGGGCAAGTGATCATATGAATGACATAATTATAAGAACATGTATTTGAGCAATAAGCAGAAAATCTAAAATTATATAAGCTATAGGCTATATAAAAATATATTGAGTCTATATTTTTAGAAACAAAGTACTGTGTATCAGAGGTGGGGACTTGCAGTTCATCACTTGGATTCTAGTCAAACTTGAGTCACTATTTTTAAGACTTGAGACTTGACTTGATAAAATGGACTAAGACTTGTGACTCGACTTGAACTTGAAGGTCAGTGACTTGGGACTTAACTTGGACTGGAGCCCTGTGAC